AAAACGATGGTAGGAGCCCGCCAAGCCAAGGAAATTGCGAATCTTTGTAGCTGAGGATGGTCTGGGCCAACTCTGCACGACCTCTACCTTCTTCAGATCCACCCGAATACCCTTACTCGATACCACGTAGCCTAAGAATGCCACTGAATCCAACTAAAACTCACATTGCAAGAACTTAGCATATAACTTCTTCTCTCTTAGAATCTGAAGCACAGTCCTCAGGTGCTACTCATGATCTTTCTGACTTCGGGAATATACCAAAATATCATCAATAAAAACAATGACAAACGAGTCAAGATACGGTCAGAACACACTGTGCATCAAATGCATGAAGGCTGTTGGGGCATTGGTCAGCCCAAATGATATAACAAGGAACTCGTAATGACCATACCGAGTCCTAAAAGCAGTCTTTGGGATGTCTAGCTCCCGAATCTTCAACTGATGGTAACCTGAGCACAAATCAATCTTATAAAACCTATGCGCCCTGAAACTGGTCAAACAGATCATCAATACAAGGCAAAGGATAACGGTTCTTCACTGTAACCTTGTTCAACTGGAGATAATCAATACATATACGCATAGAACCATCCTTTTTCTTCACAAACAAGACAGGAGCACCCCAAGGTGAAACACTGGGTCGAATAAAACCATTATCAAGCAATTCCTGTAACTGATCCTTCAACTATTTCAACTAAGGAGGAGCCATATGAGACGGAGCAATAGAAATGGGCTAGGTGTCCGGCAACACATCAATTCCAAAATCAATATCTCTATCAGGTGGCATGCCCAGAAGATCAGCTAGAAACACATCGGGAAAATCCCGTACTACGGGACTAAATCAACTGAAGGGGTATCAACACTAACATCGCTCACATAAGCTAAATACGCACCACACCCCTTCTCAACCATATGCTGAGCTTTAAGGAAATAGATAACTCTACTGGGAGTGTGATCTAAAGTACCACTCCACTCAACACGCGGTACACCTGGANGCTGCTCAGGAGTGCGGGTAGCAGGAGACTGTTCCAAACCTGCTTGAGCCAAAGTGGTTGGGATGTGGCTGCAGCAAGGGGAAGAAACCCTACATGAGCCAAAGTGGTGTACATGCTCATGAACTGTGCCAAAGTCTCCTGAAGGGATAAGTAGTAGTAGCAGTAGGCGTGTCAGGTGCTTGGACTCTGGCTTGATCTACTGGTGGCACCTCGGCGGAAGCTCGCGCAGGTGCTCTTACTGCACCATATGCGTATCCTCGGCCTCTACCCCGGCCTCGGCCTCTGACGGCTGCAGTAGGAGGCGCGGGTGCCTGATCATCTCGATTAGCACGAGTCCTCACCATCTGTGAGAGAATAGAAGACAGAAGTTTAGAATTGTGATGTCAAAATATCGCACGACAAGGAAATCAAATGAAGTGAAGATTTTTCCTAACAGTTACATAGCCTCTCGTAGATAAGTACAGACGTCTCCATACCGATCAGCGAGACTCTAATAAACCGGCCTGTGTTCCGTGACTCTTATGAACCTAGAGCTCTAATACCAACTTGTCACGACCCCAGTTCGCCCTCCATGAATTGTCGTGATGGTACCTAGTCATTACGACTAGGTAAGCCTAACAAGTGCGGAAAATAAATTGAAGCTTGCGGAAATATATTAAGACCAAGAATAACTAAAAAGGAACAGTATATAAAATGTCGCTCGGCATATACAACACATTATCTCAAACTTCTACATCACTATCCCAAAACCCGAAATTCACGGGAACACAAGCTGAAAGAAAGATAGTAAAAAAATGTTCTAACTCCGGAAATGTCTACATCAACAGTATGATAGAAGGGCTAACACTAAAAGATAGAATAAAGATGGAGACTCGTTGGTCTGCGGACGCGGCAGATGTACCTCGAAGTCTCCAAAATCTCTCCCTGTCTCAAGGATGGTAAGCCTGTGCAGAGGTACCTAGATCTGTACATGAAAAACATGCGCAAAAGGGCATGAGTACACCACAGTGATACTCAGTAAGTGCCAAGCCTAACCTCGGTCAGGTAGTGACGAGGAAGGTCACGGCCCTACTAAGATAAATAATAATAATAAAAATGACAGGTTAAGATAAACAGTATAATTAAGAATCTACCATAAGAGTCTATACAGGATGATAAGAATACAATAATGGAAATAGAAATAAAGGCAAACACAAGGAAACACCGCTTACAACATGGATGATAGACGGGGATCTCTTGGTATCCCGAGGATCTCTTGGTATCCTCCATATATTCACTAAGGATCTCTTGGTATCCCGAGGATCTTATGGTATCCTCCATATATTCACTAGGGATCTCTTGGTATCCTGCACCTCAGCCCAAATCATAAATACGTGCAGGGGATCTCCCGGGATGTCGTCCCGTAGTCCCAAATTAAAACACACACTAACAGCTCAAGAATATTAAAAATAAATGCTAAGTCTGTAACAAGTAAATAGTTATTTCTAGCATAACATTCTTCACGTAATGCAATTGAGGAAGTTTAAGCAAATAGACAATTAAGTCATCTAAACATGTTTTTCTAAGCTAACACAGGCTAAGTTTACAAGTAAAATAAAATAAGTAAGAAAGGAACTCAGTGCGAATACTTAAAGTAAAACCAGATTTTTCAACAATTAGCTCAAGTACGCACTCATCACCTCACGTACAAGGCATTTCAATTATCATATATCATATCCTAAGGGGAAGGTCCCCCACACAAGGTTACACAAGCCACTTACCTCGTACCGACTCAAAATCAACCCGAAATCACGCTTTTGCCACGAGTATCCGACTCTAAATGGCCCAAATCTATTCAATACCATTTCATAATATAAATAATACTTCGAGGAGCTGATTCTACAATCAAATTCTAAGCTAATAAGCGAAATTATATAAAATGACCAAAATGCCCCTCATGCCAACATCTCGGAATCGGGTGAAATTTATATTTTCAGAAACCTCGTACTCTCACGAGTCTATACATAACAAAAACACTGAAATCAGAGTCCAAATAACCCCTCAAATCCTCATTTAAAGGTTTCTTAAACTCAAGCCTTAATCACCCCTTTTTCCCAAATTTCTTACCATTATTTAGGTCTTTAATCATATGAAAATGAGTTATAAAGTCAAGAACGTTACCTCCAAGTGATTTCTCTTTGTTTTCCTCAAAAATCCCTCTCAAAAGCTTCAAACCTAGATGAAAATGGTGGGAAAATGGCTCAATTTTGCAAAGGCAACTATTTATATGTTCTGCCCAGCGACTTCCACATTTGTAGCCCTAGGACCGCATCTGCGGTCCCTCTTCTGCGGAACAAATGTCACATTTGTGACTTTCCCTTAAATAACCAGAAACCGCATCTGCGAGTCCCATTTCGCAGATGCGAAACCGCTTCTGCGGTCTACCTTCTGCATCTACGGACTCTGAAGACAAGGCCCAAATCCGCTTTTGCGATCTCTATGATGCTTCTGCAGCTTCGCACCTGCGGAACCCAAACCGCAGGTGCGGTTATGACAGGTTCTAGCTGAAAGCTGCAATCTCTAAACTTCAAAATCCTTTCGTCAACCATCCAAAATCATCCCGAGCCCCCTAGGACCCCAACCAAAAGCACCCACAACACCTAATACCTTATTCTAACTTGTACCAATCCTTAAAACACCTAAAATAACATCGAAAACTCGATTTAATCAAGGATTTAAGCCTAAGAACTCCAAATTTCCCAAAAATAAATACGCTTTCGATCAGAAACCTAACCAAACCACGTCTGAATGACCTGAAACTTTGCAAACACATCCCAAATGACATGACGGAGCTACTTCAACTCTCAAAATTCCATTTCGACCCTCGAATCAAAATCTCACTACCGAATCGGAAACTTCCAAAATTCAACTTCGGCATTTTAAGCCTAAATTAGCTACGGACCTCCAAAACACAATCTGAACACGCTCCTAACCCCCAAATCACCCAACAGAGCTAACAGAACCATTGGATTTTCATTCCGAAGCCGTCTTCATATTGCTCCAACTACGGTCAACTTTCCAACTCTTAAGCTCTCATTTAGGGACTAAGTGTCCCAAAACTCTTCGAAACTCAAAAACGAACGTCCCGGCAAACCAAAAATAGCATAATTAAATACGGGGAAAGTAGCTAATAGGGGATCGGGGCGTTAATTCTAAAAATGACCGGCCGGGTCGTTACAGCCCCACTGTTAATTTTTGGATTGAATTTTGGATTTTTATTGGAAAATGTAGAATTTTCATATGGAACTAATTCCCATAATTTGTATTGACTGAACCAAATTATTTATGAATAGATTCGAAACGTTTGGAGGCCGATTCGCGAGGCAAAGGCATAGCAGAGTAAAGAATTACACGGTTTTGGGGTAAGTAAAAGTTCTAAATTTGGTCCTTAGGGTATGAAACCCCAGATTTTATGATATGTGATTGGTTTGGAGGTGACGCACATGCTAGGTGGAGGGAGTATGGGCGTGCACTGAAGAAATAATGATTGGGTCCATCCCATGAAAACTTTAAATTTGAATAACTTGTTGTTAGCTATATGCTCTCCATGTGTATTAGAAATTTGATTGCAAGTCTTGTTATAAATCATGTTTAGGCTATGTGTTGGTACTGTTGGGACCCACAGAGGTCGTGTTCATGGTGAATTACCTGAAATTTTTTGTTTATACTCAGTCTCAATTTTCTTGCATATCATATCTCAATCTCTATTATTCCTTGTTGATACATCATATCATTGTTGTTTGGGCTGATTTTCATGATTGCTGAGAGCCCGAGAGACTGGAGAGGTTCATGATTGAGTGAGGCTGAGGGCCAGATTGTGAGGATATTTATGGGAACAAGTTTCACGCCACAACATGTTTCATTTATTTATGACATGATTGGCTTGTTTAGCGCTTGGGCTGAAGGAGCCTCTCCGGAGTCGGTACATACCCCCAGTAAGCGCAGGTACCTACTGAGTGCGAGTGCTGAGTGTTGAATGACTGAGAGGAATGAGTGACTATGAGGAATAAGTGATTGTGAGGAAAGAGTGATGGTGAGGTTGGAGTGAATGGGAGGACTAAGTGACTATTACTCTGAGTGGCTACATTTGATTTCATTGTTGTTGCACTTTAGCTGTCATATATGACTGTTTGGAAACTTCTAAATGATATTATCTTCTGTTTCAGTCAAATATGATATGAAATTATTGTTTGAGTTTTAAATGTTGAACTTGAAAGCATGCCTACCTTCTTATGTTGGAATTTACTGTAATTGGGTTTAGCTGTGATGCTCGTCACTATCTTCAGCTCTTTATTTAGTATTATTACTTGTTGAGTTGGTTGTACTTATACTACACCCTGCACATCTTGTGCAGATCCACGTACTTCTGCACATGACGGTTGTTAAGTTATTTTTTGGAGCTTTATCTATCGGAGACTATCGAGGTAGATGCTTGATGTCCGCAGACCTTGACTCTCTTTCCTTTCAGTTATTTGTATTGTTCTATATTTCCAGACATTGTTCTATTAGTCAGACTATATTATTATTTAGATGCTCATGTACTCAGTGATACCAAGTTCTAAGAGTGTTTTATGTCGGTATTAATGAGATTTTTATTTTGACAAACATAAAAGAAATTGTGGTTTATTGAGGTTGTCAGCTTGTCTAGTATTGAGATAGGCACGATCATATTAGGGTCGTGACACTATGTTTGATTACTCCTTGTTCTACAAAGGTAAAGGGAACTCGGTGACTTTTGTAGCTATGTATGTAGATGATATTATCATCACAGGAGCTCACTTGGAGGAAATTACCAGCTTGAAGAATTTCTTACAAGAGACTTTTCGAATAAAAGATCTTTGCAGACTTCATTACTTCTGAGGGTTAGAGATACTTTATATAGGGGAACGAGTCTAATTGGGAAACTAATTATAGGAAACTAATTGGGAAATTAAACTTCCTTACAGGAACACTAGGCCTGATATAACTTATAATGTTCAACACTTGAGCCAATACATTCAAAGTCCTACAGATAGTCACCTAAAAGCAACAGTACATGTGTTGAGATATTTGAAAGGAAATTTATCTCTAGGCATCTTTCTATCCAACAGCACAAATTACAGATTAAGAGCCTTTTGTGACTCTGATTGGGCTTCTTTCCCTGAAACTAGAAAGTCTTTTCGTGGTGATATAGTGTTACGTGGTGCTAGCCCAATCACTTGGAAATCAAAGAAACAATCTACTATTTCCTTGTCCTCGGTTGAGGCTGAGTATAGAGCAGTCAGAAAAGTAGTTGGAGAACTGATTTGGCTTGCACGATTGCTTGAGGAACTCACTTACCCCTTTCTCTGCCCATACCTGTCTTTTATGACAGCCAAGCAGCACTTCACATTGCAAAGAATCCAGTCTTTCATGAGCGGACCAAGCATATAGAAGTGGACTATCATTTTGTAAATGACAAGCTTCAAGATGGCCTGATTTCATTACACTACATCCCTACTCATGAACAGCTCGCAAATATCTTTACTAAGTCCTTACCAGGAAACAAACATACTATTTTACTTGTCAAGTTGGTTGTGGGTTCCCCATCTCCAAATTGAGGGGGGAGGGGGGTGTTAAGATTATTTAATAGTTAATCATCTTGTATTCATTTTACATAGGCTATTTCTATAAATATTTAGGTTATCAATGTAATAAGGCAGTTAGATTAGTAGTTAGTGGAGGTTAGAGCTGATGATAACTGTGTACGTGTATAAATACATTGTACAGATATTTTGGAAAGTAAGTATATTTTATTTTTGCTTCAGTCTGCTTCTTGAAGCTTCCTAGAATGGGATTACTTTCCCCTTTCCTCCATTGGAGCTCAATCTGTGCGCGATTACACTTCAATCCTCAATATTTTGTCACATTGCTTATAAGTTAAATCTTTGCTATTTGAAGAAGTATGAAATAGGTCAATCTCTCTTATTGAGTCACTTGAAGATGTAGAATGAAAAAGAACTCATTTATTCGTCTTATTTATTATTATTAGATCAAATTATTTCGCCGATTGGATTTCACTTGATTGTTTACAATTTTATTGTGTGTGCTTGGGGTAGAAGTTTATTTATCCAATTTACAAAATATTGAAGTTTATTTACTGTAAACTGGATGAGTTGACTATCCCTTATTAGAATATTCTTGACTCATCTCTTTCAATATTTTAAGAACATTTGAAGTGGTAAACATTTCTTCATGTGATTCATTTTACTAATAAACTTTTTTTTCCCTTTTCGTTTTAGGAAACTACATAGCTAGTATTAATTTGAAGAAAAAAAGTTAGAGAAGAGTTGTGACTCATTTGGCTCATAATTTCGTGTATTATCTTCTTTGACAAAAGGAAGTTACTGATAATTAGGCCTAATTGTTCACCACTTAAATGTATATATAGTAAAAGGAGGGATGTTAAATCGGTATGCGATATTAAATTTTTTTTAATGTTGAGGAAAACTTTAATGCGAAAATAGTAGAGAAAAATCCAATTATCGGTCTATCTTACTATATAGCCTATAGAATTAATAAATGTAGCAAATTTAAAGCACTTAATTCCATGTTTTGTTACACAAATAAAAAGTAGACAGGTATTATTTAGAAAAGGCCAAATACATGGACAACCACCTAAATTTGGCACCAAATTTCACTTAGACACCTCAACTAAGAGCCCGTTTGGCCATGAAAATTCTCTTTTTTTCGAAATTGGTGTTTGGCCATAAATTTTCTAATTTTCACTTAAAAATGAATTTTGAAATTTTTTTAAAGTTTAAAAAACAACTCTAACAAAATTTCAAAAAACAACCCAAAATTATATTCATATCCAAAAATAATTCTAATTTTCAAATATCATTTTCACTTGAAAAAAAAATTACTTATTTTTTTGAAATTTTACAATTTTTATGTTCAAACGCCCACTAAGATTTGTTCCGTTTAAACACTCCAACATCCATTAAAACGTGCCTATCAAACACAAATTCAACAATTCCAAAACCAATATTAATATGTGATCCTCGCTCTCTTTTAAAGTGACAGATCAAACCAATAAAATAGTTACATGTCAGCTAAAAAGAATCTAACCAAAAAATAAGAAAGAGAAAGGAGAAGTCCCTTCCTCACCATCCTCCTTTTTATCTCCACCGCAGTTCGTATTAACGGAGGTAGCTGTTTTCGGAGAAATTTTTTAACAAGCCAACTACTATGATGATTCACTGATTTTTATCTGTGTCATTTCTCACATACAAAGATATGAATTTTACACACAAAGTGATAACCCTTTAATTATTATTTTACTTATTATGTGTTGATATGAATTTTAGTTTAGTGGTCAAGGGGGATCAAAATCTACATAAGGTCATGGGTTCAATTCCCACTAGCTACAAATATTTTTTTTTGAACCCCCTTCTTGGAGATCTTGCATCCGCCACTGTCTTGAGGATAATGTATTTTTGGGGATTGGGGGGGTGCATTTTTATGGTTGCTAATGTGCAATGAGATGGTATGGTGGCGTAGGTGGCATACCAGAAAGACAAGATGAAGGAGAAAGTTGAAAAAATTCAAAACCGGAAGAAATTATCATTCTTTTAAGTTTCTATTGATATCTGGGACTCATTTCAGCTTTTTTTGTCCCCACTCTCTCAGTGGAGGTGTAAATTGTAATACACACATTATGTCATATCAACGATGTGTTTGATAGATACACTTTAATAAATGTTGGAGTGCCTAATAGGAACAAGCTTTGGTTAACGTTGTAGACAATAAAATTTGCGTCAGGAAAATAATCGAGACCGAAAAATATTGTAATAATCGTACTATTTGATTTCAAATAATATGAGTGTACAATCTCTATGAATCCTCTTATTCTTCTTTCCAATAGTAAACAAATTCAAGGGCATTTGAGCTTGATCTTGAATATGTAGTTGTTTCCACGAACGATGATCTTGAGTTCAACTAGCACGAACTTTGATTTGAATTCGTATTTCTTGAACCATGATTTGTTCTTCGTTCTTGAGCTTGAACTTGACTTGTTCTTCGTTCTCGAGCTTGAGTTTGTTTTTTTCTTCGTTCTTGAGCTTGAACTTGACTTGTTCTTCGTTCTTAAG